GTCCGGAGTAGCCAACTTCTACTTTTACTACAATACATTTAGTGTCCATCAGCTTCAGTCCAAAAGAATCACAAGCAATCATCCAAAAGCCTGACAATTCTAATACGGAACTACATTATGAGCATACCTGCACAATGGCCACAAATCCATCTGAGAAGGTGCCTCTGAGGATCGCATTTCGTGTCGTACCAACTAACAGTTCCTCCCCATCCACATCAGCGAGGGTGCGGACTGCCCCAAAATTTTCTGGAATCTAAAAAAAATAAATTAATATTAATCCAAAAGCATTTCGTTTTATTAGAGAGTAAATTAACTTACTAAACTCAGACCTGTCCACCAGCATCACACACACACACACAGAGTTGTGGTTCACCTCACACTCTCTCTCAGGTGCCAGATCAGCACTCCAGCGGATGATCTTGCGGTCTTTCCCTCCTCCACTGAGCAGAGCGCCGCCCTGCAGCATGCACAGGGTGAACACGCTGCCTTCATGGGCTCTGGTTTGACGCATTATCTGAAGGGTCTCTGTGGGAAATGAAAGACAAACTAAGCTTGAAGAAGAAAAATTTGAAAGTTGTATTTGTAAGTATGGAACTTAAACCCAGAAAAGACTAAGGCTAATTCAAAAATTCCAAAAAAATTGATAATACAGCAGGATCCTTAAAGAAAACTTTTTTTCAGAACCCTGGGCCTGTGACATTTGGTGACTGTGGTGACAAAGCAAAAAGCCAAGACAACACAGGATCGTCTTCAGGACAATGAAAGGTCCTCAAGACGAAGGTCTCAGAAATGGAAGGCCCTCCTTGATCCAAATCAGTTGGGCTTTAAGAGCTGCCACTCCACTGAATTGGCTCTCTTGTCTGTGTTTGAAACCCAAAGAGCAGCTCAAAGTGCAGCTCATCCTTATAGTTTTTTATCTTGTTGGACCAATTAGCAGCCTCTGATACAATGAATCACCACATCCTGCTATCAGATGTCTCCAATATGGACATCTCAACAGAGCTCAGCAAAGCACATCCTTGTCCCGTCCCCTCCCCAACAGGGAGACACCATGGTTCTGTGCTGGGACCCCTTCTTTTTGCAATATACACCATTTCCTTGGGTCAAGTTATTACTGCAATGTCGATATTACCCAACTATGCTGGTCCCCATTGGATCTAAATACATAAGACATATCTACATGGATGAGGGAACACCATCTTCAACAAACAATCAAATCTAAAAAATCAAAACAGTAACCTGTCTGTGAACACTACTAGGCAGTAGCTTTAGAAATGCTCCTCAGTTATAATTTGATTTTGATAAGAGTGTCTGCCAGGAGTAAATGTAAACAAAGTTCTGAATTAATAGCCTGAATAAAGTTTAATTTAATTTAACAAAAGCAATTTCATTTAATGATTTTTAATTTGCAAATATTGCTAAAACATGCGTTCACTATTGATTATTTAGTGTAGATTGATCAGCCAAACAATAATTTTACCCAAGAACTAAATCTACAACGACAAAAAGTGTTTGAATAATTTCTGACAGCTACAGTATATATAGATAGAACCTGATTCAGAGCATTACATTCCTGATTCAGAAGGAGCTCTTTCAAAATAGGCAGCGCATCATGCTCTGCCTATTTTGAAAGAGCTCCTTCTGAATCAGGAATGTGAAATCAAAGTTATTTTTGTTATTTCGCAAGGCTTCATGGTTTGACTAAGTCAAAAATACATCTAACTGCCTAAACATTAAATCCTGTTACCAGTTTAAACCCGGGCTCTAACATCAACTCTTCAACTTTCAGCTTCAAATCTGAGTTTTACATCTAGTCTTGCACTGACCTTTGGCTCCTTTACCCAGAGTTTTGATATCTGCAGCTGATTTTCCCCATGTCAGGATGTTGCCTTCCGAGTCTCCAGTCAGAACATCTCCAGTCAGACTGAACACAAAGCACTGGATGAACTTGGGCTTCTTGTATTTCTGAAACAGAAAAAAAAGAGACTTTTGTTCATAACTATATTAACATGCAATATACCTTTGTTAAAGTTGGTACTATACTATGAACATTTGTTTTAAACATTTTTTTAATTGAATTGACTTTATTCTTCTTTGAATAAAAATGATTCATTTCAGTGACACTGACCAGGCAGTATGCATGTACTGTATAGGCTAAATATATGTTTTGTATATTATGTAGATGAAAAATAGATTTTTAAGTGAACCTTTACGGCTTAGAACTGTTTCAGTTTTTGTTTTTCTTGTGATTTGGGGATGTATGTTTCTGGTCCAGATTTGTGTGCTGGATTACTAACAAATTTTACTGGTTCAAATCAGTTTAGTTAAAAGTTAGAACCTATATCTGATCATAAGTGATTCAGTTTTCGGAGAAATGATATTTTTACTTTTCTGAATCAGTGTGGTTAATCTCAAATTTCAGTTCTCTTGTTTTAGCCCTTTAAACTGAGGAAGCTACTAACTTCCCTTTACAGTACGTTCCAATGACCATAACCCCCAGGTGGCTGCCTGCAGTGTAGGTCATAAATCTTACCTCCTGCATGTTAATAGATGCAGCAATGGCGCCAACTAAAAATTACAGAGGGCAAATAAACTTACTCCAAAGATTCCTTGTTTCTTGGTAAACTGCCCTGCGTTGAGAGTCCAGAAGTAGACGTGGGATTTACCACAGGTGATGATATTGGTGCTTTCGCTTGGGTTAAACTCTACAGCAAACACGGCCTCATTGGTACTCTGAGGACACACACAGAAAGTCATGAAAACTTTCAACAAATAGGAAAAACATGCAGTGATTGTACGACAGGACGCAGCAAGCCGAGAGCAACATCACAGTGGAGCGCTTCCTTATTGAATCCAGGCCAGAGACAAAAAGAGGCTCTTAACCCTCTACTGTCCATTTGTACATTAATCTGTAAAGTGAAAAATCTGGGAAAAAGTAGCTGAACTGGGGGGAAGAGGCAAAGTCTGTTCATCTGCCAAGAGAAAAAATATTTGGAAAAACTGAAATAGATCCTCTGGTATAGTTAAAAGTCTGATAAGGAGGTTAAAATGCTACAATTACAAGAAGAGATTACTATTTTCATTAGTATTTTTAATAAAATCGATTATTTTTGAGTAGTTTTTTATTATCTATATTTTATTTAATGTTTGTGCAACTGATAACATGTTTTAAACGTGTTGATGTTTTGAAAATGGACAAACTGTTGAGCTCATTCATAAAGAGTGTGATGAGCTGGTGAACACCCTGAAGCATTTGGAAGGTTAAGAGCCAGATATTTTTCTCAGGAGTTGGTGGAAACCAGAGTTTTCTGGCCCTACTTTCAACTTTTTATAAACAGAAATTTGAATAGAACTATGATGGATGTTTTTCCGTTAGATATTTTCTGTGACATACAACACAGTACAACAGGCAGGTCTACAATGTTCATGTACATAGTATGTGCACAACGTATTGAATCATAATTTTTACACAAAAAGCTCCATTCATGGCCTCACTGTAAAGTGGCATATGGCAGCTGCTGTGGTGAGGGGGTGGGGGGTATAATTATCTTGTTCCTGCTGGATGAACTCGTATGTTTATACAGTCAGCGTTGGCCTGTCCAGCTCCAAGCTGCCTCCCCCCACTGAACCACACAGGGGAGGGGATGCTACCTTGCCCAATAAATTCTTGACTTGATATGATTTACAAGTTCAAACGGCCGCCTGTATATTCCTCCTACTGCATTAGAGAACACACACACATTTATATATGCACGAATGCAAACAAATTCCCTGTATAAAATATTTACACTGTTGCTATGACAGCCGTGCTGAAATTGCTCTCCGGGAAGTTGAGGCATTTTGGTATAAAAGCCCAGAAAAGCATCAGAGAGACACACTACCTCCCCAATGCCCATCACATTTCTCCACACAGACCCTCTTTATAAAAGGCATGCAGTCACACTGGGAATTGATTCACATACTTTGTCTTCAGGGAGGGTTTTTCATAAGCACCACATGATGTAAAACAGGCTCAATGAGACTTATAAGGATCCTGAGTCAGATAAGTTTGATATGATATAATATCTGTGTCCTGACAAACACAACATCCAACATACTATCACCTCATTAAGTTATTATGTCACAACAGCCCCCCCCCTCCAAAAACCACCTATATCTTTATTTATGTAGTTATTTCTTCAAAAGTGGACAAGTAAAACTACCCACAGATGAGAGTGTGCATAGAAATATGGCAAGATGACTTTAGAGAAGTTTTAGTTCTGCTGTTCAGCAGGAGCATCTACGTTTAAATGTTTTCTAAGCATACACATGGATATCTATTTGCACGGACATAAGAGAATACGATATCCTCTGGAGTACTTTATTCTTAATGTGTACTAGGTCTGCATGTTTAGATTTGACTTCACTGCCACCATGAGCAGTGTGTCACATCCACTGCTACTGCTGGATCTGCTGAGCGTGTCTGTGAGTCCGCCAATAACATCCTGTTGTTTTTCGCACCTCACCTCATGTCTCTCTCACTGAGCCTCCCAAACTCGCCTGCAACCCCCCTGGTGCAGTTTAAAGGTTCAGAGTGTAGGATTTATGTCGCCGTGAGGTTGCCCAATCCCTCCCCCTTACTAAAGAAACCTGATGGTACCTCAACGACCTGATCCCTATGTAAATAACAAAGAGCTCGTTCTAAATTATTTTTTACTCTTGGGTGATTGTACACACATGAAAACCTTATGATTATTATATTCCAGTTTTGCTGGCGGATCCTCCAAAATCAGTATATTAACGCCCGTATTATAACAACTCTTATTATTGCATCATGGTTAATAAAAATTCATGACTAAACCCATTAGGCTCATGTAGGTTCTTCTCTTTACCTTGACCTCTGCGTACTTGGTGCCCTTGTTGCAGTCCCATACTGACAGCATGTGCTCATTAGAGTCATCGATCACACACAGGAAGGCTCCGGAGTCCTGGAAACAACATCACAGAACACACAAGGGCCAGTCAACGTTTAGCATGATGCACATTTCCACAGCACTGATTCAATCAGCACTGAATCAAATCACTGATGTCCTATAAATTAGACTGTGGCATTTTCACTGGTATGAAGCAACTGTAAGAACCTTCACAAAGACTTACAGGAGAACCGAAGGCCAGCTCCTCAATACAGTTGGGCTAAATCATTTGTAAATAAGTATTTGAGATTCTACAGTACTAGCGCAGTGGCTGTTCTAAACCTGCCTGTTTGGAATGGGCTGTTTGCTTGGCTCCAGAGCTACTCCAGGAATATTCCATGTCAATAATGAGGTCTCCTCAAACAGTTCTACAATATACTGTTGCCATTTTATTGTTAATATGCTGGACATTAAGTGCAGATCTTTTTATAAACTATCTCAGGTGCAGAGCAAAGTAACTAAACTTTGTGTTCATACTTGATGGGGAACCATGTAACGTTGGTTGCCTTTGACATCAGGGGTTTTCACACCAGGCATTTGGACTTGTCTTAGTAGGAAAAGTAAAGGATTGGTACTGTTTACCATGTTGTTGCTATGTCACAAAGGTCTCTGTGTCTGTATGGTGAAAATGATCAAATAATCAAAATGATCACAGGCAGTGATTTGGACCGGTTGCCAAACCACTGCTAGATTTTATCTGAAGATGTGGAGGAAGTCATGTTCAACTCGGATGAGTGAAGGCACACTGCTCAACCCCCACTGACAACTCCAGAGCTCTGGTCACATGTTTATTTTTAATTCTTATTAATACTGTGTCCAAATCACACCAGTCTCTGGAGCACTTAGAATATCAAAGTGTAAAGTCAAAAAAGTTGAACAGTTCGTGAGACAGACAGACAGTATGTAGATGTTACACATGTACTCACGGCAAAAGAAAATGCAACTGATCCAACTCCCTTCTGGAAGGTTCCAAGGCCGATCTGCTGCAGCGTCACCAGGGAGGTGGAGTCCCAGATATGAACACAGGGCTGCAGGGGCTAACATACATGCACAAACTTTATCGCTCATGATGGTTTGAGTTTCAAAGTGAACTGTAAAATACAGAAATGTATTGTGTAGCATTTCAAAAGCTTCCAGGGGCCTTGCATTAGATTGCAGTAGTCACCTTGCCGTCTTTGTCCACCCCTGCTGTTTGGCCAGATGCCACTCTCACTTTGTCAGGATGAAGGGTAAGACTGCAGGAGAAGGAATTCAACTCAATAACAGGAAGGTACAAAACACATTTAAATATCCTGGTGCAGTACCTGTTCTAAACCTGTCTGTTTGGAACCGGCTGTTTGCTTGGCCTACATTGATTGTCTGGAGCCACTTCAGAATTATTCCTTGACATTTGTGAGGCCTCCTCAAACACTTACTGTCATTTTTTGTTGTTTGTGTGCAGAGCTTTTTGTAAACACTCTTTGGTGCAGAGCAAAGTTAGAAAACTCTTCTTCAATCCTACCTGCATTGAATATTTAATTCATAGTCAATGTTTTCATAAAATTAAATTGAATGTGCACTATTAGATTTACTGATATGCTGTAATTTTTTCATACATTGCATGTCGGCTATTCCTAAGGTCTGTTAAACAATCAACACAATCTACAGACTCAAGTTCACAAGCAGCAAAAAAAATGAATGTGGTGCATTTACATTGAACAGGAAGTGATTCTGTGGATGTTGTTGCCATGATGGAAATCAGCTCCGGGGCTGTCTGTCTGTGTCTCATTTATTAATTAATGATTATTTGTTATCGGAGAAAAATTATCTGGCACAATTTTGACAGTTTGACCCAGTTGCTGACCAATGCTGTAGTTTATCTGAAGTCATAGAACAGGACGCGTTCAACTCAGTCCACAGACTGATTGTTAGCACACTGCCCTGTCCCCACTTACTACTACAGGGCATTGGTCGCGTGTTTATCTAATTTATATAAATGAAATGAACCTCCTCTACAAATCGCACCAAACTCTGCAGTGCACTCTCCTTGTTCATTATCACTACACATGCACAGCGTGAAGCCAATTAGATGAACAGTTCATGCGATATGAGTACCACATACAGACAGACAGACGTCTGTGGAATTAGCAGATAGACTGCCCGCTGGCAAAATATCTTTATGGGATTGTATCCGTCACGACTTAATGTCCGAAGGGTTCTTACACATATTTTGCATAGATATATTCACAGTGAATGTAATGCTCAGAATTTTATAACTTGTTCCTCAAGCTAAAATAATTAAGGATTATCACCCTATTATTATCCACGTGTAAGCAAATAGTTACCCGTTTACACAACCAGCAAACACATAGCAACACAAGCTTTTTCAAATCATACAAACAAATCATGTTTTTGTTAACCTGATGAATGTACATGAAATACTCACTCCTCTGTTAGCTCTGTTTTCATCTCCACCAACTCCAGACAAAACAACTGTCTCTTAAGGTGCTAAATGCTGCACTGTGTATTATAGTCTGTGGACACTCACACAAACAGCTGTACAGACCATGGACATGTACTTCTTCTATGTATATACATGTTTGGAGTCCATCAGGACAAGGGTACGTGCAGTAGTGGCGATGGGGAACATCTACACAAAGCCTTACATACATCTTCTGATTACGACATTTATATCCCTCGAACTCTAGCAGACCCTCACGTAATAGCGGATGTACAAAGCATAACAGTAGCTTAACTGTGTCTGTCTGAACCTGGAACTAGGCAGGTAGATGTAGTGGCTTTATCAAAGCCTTTTCACTGAAAGCTGAAAAAATCAGTATGAGTGAGGGGACCTGCAGAGGTTTCACAGTCATTTAACTCATTGTGTTAATAGCGTTTGCAGCTTTAGTTTTCACGCCCCTCGTTGTCAGAGCCTGTTTGAACACTGTGATAGATATTAGCAGGTGTCCTCCCTGATAATACTCGGTTAAGCCAACTCTGTCTCTGCCGAGTCACACAGCAGCCCAAAAAAGACTGTGACAAAAAAGGGGAGAAAACATGAGTTGACAACTAAAGAAATGTAATATATTTACATAAAAAGAAAATTGCTCTGATCCATCAGGGAAAAGGAAACTGCCTCAGTGATAGCGAGCCAAATAGAAATCATACAAAGGAACACATTGACAGACTTAATAATGCTGTAAAACTAATTGTAATTCAGCTTGATTGTTAGGTCAGTTCAAAATGTAAAATAAAGTCAGTTCTTGAACCTCAAGAGTCAGTTCTTGCTTCCAGATCTAATGTGCTGGAACACTCAACTACAGAAATAAAAACAGTGTCACTGCCTAAATAACTATGGACTATAATGTAGGAACAGTTCAACCCTCATTTCCTCCGAGCCATCAAGCATTTGGAAACCAAAGTAACTCCCTCCCCATTATTTCAGGAATGTAATGTTCTTGGACTTTGTATATGAATTTGGGGAAAAAGATAAATCAATTATTTTACACGACTCTGACAACCAGTCTGTCACAATCTGTTCAGCCCTGCTCATTTATGTCCAAAATGATTATATAAAACTTTATGACATGCCTTAAAATACATTGGAATGTTTTATCAATTTAAAAAAATCACATAATTGGATTTACGTCATCCAGCCTAAACAAAGTAGGTCTCATGATTTGCTCATGTCGCTCATATTGATGGCTTTATGTTGTTGTATCATCAAGAGGCTGGCATGAGTTTGGACCAATCAGTGCGAGTTGTCGAGAAAACTGAATCCTCCACTGGAGCTGACTGTGTGGTATTTGGCATCACAGTGGTTACAAGTTATTTTAGTAAAAGGGTTGTAATCAGTGCCCTTATTTTCAGACTGAAGGCATTTATGGTATATGTGTCAGGTAGACAAGGGTACAGACAAGTTAATGCCATCAGTGGTACGTTTTGTGAATATAATCTTTTTGCTTTTACATCTAAAAGTAAATCATCACATTGGACTTTCCCTAATTTTATCTTCTTTTTTTTTACACTTCAGCCAGGCTCTACCCAAAATATTTAACATTAAAATACGCCCACCAACAGATTCAAATGTCTCGGACTATTTAACTGTATACAAAAAAATGTAAGTTGTAGTTTAAGAGGAGAATAACATGGCGGAACCTTTTCTTAAAAACCATGTGTATTCATAAATCCAATATTTCAGTGCACACTCTGAACAGTCTGCCTCTTCTCATCTCATTATAAGTAAATTCATTTCATTTCATCTTGTATACTGATGCTGATGATACACATGCTCTTGTACTGACCAGCGGACGCAGTCTGTGTGTTTGCGATAGTGCCGCTGTGTTCGGTTGTTGATGTGGTAAAGCACAATGACACAGGCAATGAAGTACACTGCCTCGCCTGTAGGGAGAAAGTACAGGTTGGCCCGACAGTCACGTCCCCGGTAACCATAGCTGACAGGACAGAGTCAAGGACGCACTCATGTTAACCACTGGTCCATTTCATTCAGTAAAGCAACCGTCTGGAACTATGCAGACCTTGTATTTTAAACATAGTCAATGTTATATAAAGGTGGATACATGAATGATGCTAGTTTACATTTCTGACCAGTCCTTTTAAAAAATATGGCACCCACAACATTACACTTAAATCTGTGGTTGACTCTCGCCCTCACAAGCCAGACTGTTGTTGTCCTCGGACACATTGTGTGGCTTGAACCTAGGAGATGAGCCCACAATGCAATCAGCATTGCACTGCAGTTTCTGAATGTAACATAACCCTCAAAAATAGAAACAAGAGGCTGAACACTGCTGTGGCTTTTTTGGAAGGATACACCCAGTCAAGCTCCAGTCTCTCCGAGGGCGGCTCCATCTTCAGGTCTTCATAGTTCTGGATGTTAGATGGGACGTACATGGTTATCGGCCTGCCTCGGATGAACATTTTAATCGACTGTCCTAGGAGACAAAGACAGGAGAGAAGGAATAATGTAGCAATAAACAGTTGACCTATATGTACCATGTATTCTACACCCATTTTCATACAGTCCTTTTTGTAACTCAGTTGTAGAGAGGTTCTCTATTTGAAAGAGTTTCATTTTATTTACAGGATTTTATCTCTACATTCTCTTTTTAATAACTATATCATACATTTCCCGGCGTTATGGATTGCTCCTTTTAGTTCTGTAATACAAACTCAACATTTCCACATGCTTTAATTGTTGCCTTGGTAAACACTATATCAGGAGAGGGAAATCTCCGGCTTCTGGCCCAAATACAGTACAGTCCACGAGAAAATTTGATGCACCCTTTGAAACAATAAAATAAGAAGAAACTCAGATATACAGCAAAAGAAAACAAGTAGGCTAACATGTTCCTGCTGTTATGTAACAGTCAGCATAAGGGAAACACACATGTTGGCTTATACGTGTCAGCCTGCTCTGTTCCTTCCCTGCATAAAAATAGCTTAAGATGCACAGTGATATAATTGTGGGTCTACCTTGGCTGTAGGTTCCTCTTCTGGATCCGGGAGATCCTGTGTGAGATTTAAAGCCAATGTTAGCCATATAAATAAACACAGAGATACTTTGAGCTTTAAATCACTGCAGAGTCCATCTGGCTTAGGTATATAAACACTGAATCTCAATCTGGATTATGTTTTATATTTCCATTAGCAGCAGATTGAAAAGTGAATTCTTAAATGGAGGGTCCATGGGGATGAGTGCAATGACACCTTGAGGAGAGATTTACCAAGACAGGATCCTCATTAAAACAACAGTCATGAGACAGCGAAGGAGAGGGAAGAAGTAAGATACACTCATTCCTGTTTGGACTCTAGTAAAAAGGAGAATAAGAACACTGGTCACCACCATTCATGGGAGAGTAATGACAAAACGAGTCCCAAGATGGGCAGTACTACCAGAAAAGGTAGAAAAATATTCAAGGACTTTACTGCATTTACAAAAAAATGATTTCAGATTTTTGAAAAGGTTTTGCAAAACAAAGGCTGGATACCAGTTACATTTGTATGCCTCCAAGCCAGAGGCCAGAGGCATTATGTTTTCAAGTTGTTTGTAATTTTGTTTTGTAACCCAACCCGTTCTTGTGAATATGTTATCTTGAGAAAGCCTTAAGGGAATTTACTCAATTTTTGTAGAAATGTCAGTTGGACTAAAAGATAACCTGATCGGATTTTGGTGGTCGCAGTGACCTTGTTATATTTACAGAGAATACCCACAGGGAATTTAATTATTGGCACTAGCTAGTATCAGACAATTACTTGGGCTCGAGGATGCCCTGATTAGAATCAAAGGTCGAAGTCGCAATGAACTCACAAAACCCTTTTTCCTCCAGAACATGTTATCTTAAGAACTCCTCCAGAGACTCTCTTTGACTCACTCATTAACTGATTGTATTTGGATTGTCAAAGGTCACCGTGAGTTCATACGATTCTTGGAACAAAATGTATGTAGACTGACACTGCATTGGTTGGTGGAGGCATACAACCAGAGGTCATTAATTCTGGTTTCGCTGACGTCAACATTATACCTGAGCTTACCAAAACAACACAACACTTTTTCTGTGCCATGATCTGAAGAAAAATAAAAGCTGTTTTCATTCACTCCCGAACTGTCAAATTTAAATGTGCATGCTGAAATGTGCATTCTCCTTACTACACCTCTCTTTTGACACATTGGCAGAAAAAGCATATTTAGCCTTTTGCCATGGCAGCAGCTGACTAACAACTAAGAGACCACATTGCGTGTTAACATCAGTTGTGCACTGCTAACTGGAGAACATCTTAATGCTTAATGTAGAGCCTATGAATGATGATGCAAATCCTTTTCCTATTTTCAACAAGTTACCACCAGTCAGCTGTGGTTTGTGGTGTTATTCTAAATATTGATACCAAGATTCAAATTGTTACTGCAAATGTATGTAGATCAATTGCAAATATCTGTTACCTGTCTCCTTGATTACTAATCATCAATATGTGTTTGTCCCAGTCTACCCCTAAAATATCTTTAATTTCTGCTGGTCTTCAATGACAGGAAGCCTTAATCCTTTGTTCCAATCTGAAATTGTCCAAATGTTGACTGATGAGATAATAGATTTTTAAAAAGGTAAAAATCTGACCGGGCAGTCACTGTCAGGAACAGTTTTGGTACTTTCTACTAGAGCAAAGTAAGAAAGAAGGGGAAGACTTGAAAAAAAGCGGTTTTGGCATTCTCCTCAGCAGAGCTGGCCATCCATCATTCAGTCAGGCGAGTTGGAGTGGTGCGGCAGCTTGGCTAACCACACCACAGCCGATGGGATTCAAGGCAGCGCCCATGGCTCAAACAGGCTCTGCAGTGTTTGCCTTCACATGAAGTCATGTTAAAAAAGTGATTGCTAGTTTTAAAAAAGGAGGGCGAAATGACTTGTTGAGTGATATTTCTGGTCTAAAAGGGGTATGTTAAGGCATAAAGATAGCCAGCAATGTCAGCAGGTATCTGGGTAGGTTTTCCAAATATTCGGGCTCCCCATATTTTCCTGTCAACACTTCTTAGACACTACTTCACTTATATTATCACTGTATTTGAGGCAATGAATGAATATCAAGATGGATGACATGTCTCCACTTCCTCCCACCGTATAAACCAAAATAGTGCTGCCATCTCATGGTGTCCCCAAAATCCAAAGTGTGCCCAGTAATCGTGGAGTTGCATTGACAAGGTCGTGCCAATACACCTGCCCGACCGATGACAAGTCAATTTCAGCTGTCATGACATCACTACAGCAACAAATACCTAAAACACTTGAACTCAAGTGTGATGTCAACTACCTGTAATGACCTAAACCATCTCTGAGGGTTTAGGTCATTATGGTGCATCCTCCGCTAACATGGAGGGGGTGGGATTTATGACACCACCAGCCACCAGGGGATGATTCAAATGTTTTGGCTTCACTTTTGGGAGCTCAGGTTGTCCATCTTAATCAATGACTGTAATAGTTATTTCGATTTGATCACCTTTCACACATTTAACTTTTGGTAGTAAGTGATTTTTGAAAGAACAAACATCTTCTTAGTGAAAATAAAGAAAGAAATGATACCTAATATAAGGTAGATATGGTTTTATATCTCTGAATTAATTGCCTAACTTAGGAATAGGTTTGGTTTTTTATCTAGTTTGTTTTGGAATTTTGCTTTTACTTTGGTTTTCTTGCTGAGAATAAGATGAGGAAAAAAATATAATAATCTGCACCATGGTTAAAGTTTTTGTTTTGTCTGAGTGTCCGTAGGATTATTCCAAAACTACTGAACCAATTTCCATGAAATTTTGAGAAGGGGTGACACATGAAGAACCCATTACATTCTTTAAAAGATTTTATTGCCACTTCGGGTGTTAGTGTTAGTCATGGCGGAGGTATGCACTCTCTGACCACCCATGTTGTTTCTTATTAGTTTAATTTTTTTTTACACAAACAAAAATGTAAGTTATGTGATGGCACAACTAATGCAGCCCAGATAACCATATAATTTAATGTCGCACTCATTCACAGTGCCTCAGTGAAAATCCAACATGACTTCAGATGTGCTGCTTTGCCAATTTTACTGCAGGGAGTTGCTTTTTGAAAAGTCAGCCAACAACTTTACATTTATTAATTGAAAATGATAAATCTTAAGTAAAAAAAATATCAACTGCACTGTCTGTTACATTTTAGTTCTGTCAAATTTGAGGAACTACAAATAAAAGGTGACTGTCCTGTTTTCCCCAAGTCAATAAGTACTGTTAAGTCAACATCCCTTTTGTCAACATGGGAGCTGTGGCAGTTGTTGCCACGAGCACTTATTAATGTTAATTAAGTTATTACAGTTATTATTTATTTTAAATCCACTTACAACTACCTGTGCAACAGCACAATCAATCTACTCCCTACTTGTTGCCAAATTTAAAGCAATGGTCTGAGGGAACAGGTTTAAAACCAGGGTACAGAAACTACAAATAAACAGAGTTCTGATCGAAGCCAGATCTCTGATTGAAGCTACTTGAGGTGCATCTGCATTACTATATACAAGCTGAAATAAAACCCTCTGAGGGGCCAGCGGATAGCCGAGTGGTTAGGGTACAGAACAGCATACTGAACCTACTTAGAGCTAGTTTTCCACTATCTTTAACTGGTAGAGACACTCTCTGCTGTAGGAATGAGGCCTAAAACAAACTGGGCTTACTATAACCAGACCCATGGCCAACACTCATAAAGCTACGCTAACCACAAATGTGGTTGGTTGGGAAATTACTACATGTGTGAAACAGTGAGAAGCTGCCTGGGCACAAGCACAGAAGTACAGTTCAATTCAGGCTTTGCCAATGCCGAAGTCAGGATGTATGAAAACATGGGAAAAGTCCTGAATATAAACATGTGATGGTGATCATAAATAATGAGGGCATTTCAAATCCCCAGAAGCCGTTTTAAATCCATGCAGCGTATTTGTTCCACTACAGGTTTTACTTGAGGCAACATTCATTGGACAAAAACACATCTTCCTGTGCTGTTTTTGGTCACCTGCCAATCAAAAGGCCCTGCATTAATGCAAACATCTCAGTTGTCCCTTGACTGTAGATACTTTTCCTCAGGCAGGCGGCAAACTTACTAAAAATTACTTTTTGTACTGAGGTGGTTAATCCTGGGCTGTGTCTGCAATCCCTCACTTTATATTGAGTTAGCCCTTTGGTAGTGATGTCTGAATGTTCAATATATAGTGCACCCATTGTTTCCCATATAATTGTATGAAATATATTGTACAACCGAGCAATATAAACCATCATGCATTGTGCTTGAGAGACGAGAGTAGCGAGGGCAGCAGGAAAAACCTGAGCTGTTGTACAAATGTAAATATGAGCAGGGAACCAAAAAGGTTTATTTCAACATTTAAAGTTAAACGTTAATTTTTCACTTAGCATTAATACCAAGTAAAAAATAAACATTTAAAATGTATTGTGGGATTTTCGATTGGCCAACGTCTTATCCTGCCACAATGATGTCATTACCGGCGCAGAGAAAATGCACCGAGTAGTGTTTTTTTTTCCCAATGAGCTCATTTTGTAGTGCTCTGCATAGAACCTATATAGTAACATAGGAGGAAGTGAAAGAGTGAGTGATCTTGGATTCAGCCCTGGTTTTCCTCTTCTGCATTTTAGCTTCTCTTTCCAATCACCAATAATTAAGATGATGTCACAAATGCAGGCTCCTAGCATCATCATTTTGTTCAGCATTACACAAATACAATATTTCTGCTCAGGTTTTACCAAATCCTTTAAAACATGGTTAATTCAACTGTGACATCATTGTGGAGGCTGAAGTTTGCGCTGCTGTTGAACTGTACGGCAATTTACTTGGAATGTGTTTCTTTTATTTATCCTTATTGTTATAAATAACCAAGTTACGAGAGTTGCCATAAAACATTTTAGTTTTTTTCCCCAGGTAAAGGTAGAAGCAGTCAAAAACAATTAGATATTGATACAAGTGATGAACACTTCAGTGAGTGATGTCACTGCCGGTCAAACTTAGTCTAGACAGAAAAAGACGGAAAGAGCACTCATACCTGCACTGGAAACCAGCTCCTTAGCTCGGCTGTGGAGACAGAAAGCAACATGTGAGACGGATATGTGAAATTTTATTTCAAACACATTCCAGGCCCTGACTTCAGAATCAGATGGTGTGTGTCTGTCGGGGGTTTTCATGGGAATGGAATTTTCTTATTATTCTTAGGGACTATCAGTCACACTGTTCTTTGATGAGATATGTGAGGCTGCAGCAGCCATAGGAAAAAGTGAGCAGTGTGACTGTGTGGTGACAGCTGTGAGTGATGGCAGCGTGGCTCACTTCTCCAAGCTCGGGGAGCGCGCGAGGAGGTTAGCTGAGGACGCCGCCTTCTTATCCAGACGTTTCCGCCTTTCCGGGTTCCCCAGCTTCTCACTGTTTCTACGAACCCTAGAGCGTAACAGGAAAAGAATCATCTTCAGCTTCCAGGAGTAGAAACTCAATTTTTGTCCACACAGTAGTAATAGTAATCAAATGCATGCAAACTCTTTGGAAATAAAAAGCGTGAAACATGCAGAAACATGCACGTTCGTTTTATGTTTATGTCATTTCCATAATACCATCCATCCACGATCTATACTGCATTTTGTGGGTTGTGGGGGGGGGGCTAGAGCTAATCCCAGCTGACATTGGACTGGGTACACCCTGCAGGGCTGACATACAAGACAAATAATGTCTCACAACTACACTCACACCTACAGTCAATTTAGAGTCTCCAATTAACCGAACTCCAATCTGTACATCTTTGGACTGTGGGAGGAGACAAATCCAATGCAGACGCAACGAGCATGTGAACATGCAAACTCCACACAGAAAGAACCGAGAACCTTCTTGCTGTGAGGCGACAACGCCAACCACCGCACCACTGTTCCACTCTTCATTTTCATACGTTTCAAATATCAATCTTCGTCCTATTACAACTTGGGTTTTATTTTCAAAGTACATTGCATTCACCACACAAACTGGCGGCTCACTTATCCCAGTAGTTACCATTGCTTCACCTGTCGGGCTTCTGCACAGATCCAGTTTCTAATAAAACCAGAGGCAGATTTTCCAGTGAACTCATTTCTAGCCGCTGATGATTTTGCCAGTTGAAAGTACATATTTTATCAGCTATAGCTATTTACCTAATTATCACTAACGACCTTGCTGTAATTTAGTTTACAGCTTCATTGTTCTTGTATTACACGGTAAAACTGATTAGCCCCATTAAGAGTGCAATATAGTAATAAAAATAAAAAAAGCTCTGTTGGCATGTTTACTATAGAAATACATTTTACATGAGAAAAGGTTTTTGACATTTTGAACCTTGTCTGGCAAACCTCCCCAATTCCATTACAGGGGCGAACAGAGCTGCTAATGTTTCCTTAAATTCTGGAACAGTATCTCTCCACAGTGTTTCACTGCCTCCCACACAGTGGATGTTCCACTCCTACATGGTGCTTGTTCTCACGTCACCTGTAAGCTCACACAATTATTAAGTTAAATAAAATGCAAACTCTTCAGCCTTGGAAAAAAGCTGAAGTTTTGTTGGACCTTGAGCCTTCCAGAGCTTCAGCAGGAAGAGAAAGCCCCAGGTTTATAGACCTGCGGCTTGATTAAGATTAGACAGTTTCTTTTTAGGTCGGGAGTTCAGTGAATTATCAGTTACTGCCAATCTGAGAAGAGCATGAACTTTAGCAGAGCAGGTGATCCGACAGGTTGTAAAGAAGCCAACAGTCATCTGAACCACTTAATTTGGAGGGAAAATTAAAGTGAGTGCACCTGAAATTTCACTTATAATCCCTCATTGCACAGGAAGACTGCGTTCGCACAACCATAGTGAACATACTCGATCAAAGTGGGTCAGTAATATCAATTTCCTCTTCCATTTAAGTTTGGAGACATTGGTTAACCACCTGCCTGATCACAAGACTGTCCATGATACTAGATCTCAGCGATGAGCTTGGAGAGTACAATGTTATTATGACTCAGAGCAATTATGAAAATTCAAACCCATGCTGTAATGAACTGGGATTACCATCAATCCCCTTTTTGAAAAGGAACACTAATTTCATACTCAATAATAATCCTGAAACGGTAACTTGAAGACGATTGAACCTAATTTCCTGCGTTAGTGCTGAAGATCTCAAATTGACTAAATGAACAAGCTGTAAACAAACATTTATTGTCTCGAATGATTTCTTATGGCACACCCCCTGTTTCCTGGAGCAGAGGAGTCACCAGACGGAGTGTCATGGGACCAAAAAAAACTTTGCCGTCTACTGTCAACCCTGGCCTCGGACCACATCTCTGCACTGCTAGTCTTTAAATAAAGTGTTGAATGTCAAGGTGAAGTCACAACTTTCCCAGTACCTCAGGTTTCCATAGAGGGGCATGACAGAGCTGAGCTGAGAGGGTAGAGCACATGTTATTCATTACCAACGGAACCCCTGTTAAAGGCCACAACAAGGAAGTAGGCCTAGACAACACCTGCATGCACAAGCAAATACACAAGTAAACAAAAGCAGCAGTGTGCCAGCATTGTGATTCCCAATCACTGTTAGAACAGAAAACTCTTCAGGTGTTAACAGTGGAGATCTGAGAAATCACTGGATGCAAGAGATCCTTGTTGATTGAGGAGGAAAATGATTAAAAGGTTATAAAAGAACAGCATTTAAAACATTGGTTTTTTTGTGTGTGTGTTTGTGCAAAACCCAGTTCAATGGCAGATCCTCTGTGTCAGTGTGTGAACTCTGCACATCTGCAACATCTTACAGAGCCATCAACCTGAATACTTAGTGGCTACAATGAATAGGTAATAGGGGTTGATTTGTTGGATATGAACTTTGATGCACACAGTCTGGACAGATATGTCAGTTCAAAACATTCTCTGACCATGAAAGGTTGCATCTGTACACTCATGAAACCCCCCCCAACCTTTCTTTTTCAGTCCCATGTGTATACATGCTGTAACCCTAATCCTACCCTTTTCATACATTATGCTGTGTACAATTTCCCCAGCATCACATTTTCCACTTGGCTCTGTTTGCCATACAGCTAATCTTGGAAATGTCACTCAGTGTGGACGATTGCCGCTATTATGTTATGCCATGGCTTTATGCTTCCCCAGGCCCCCACTCAAACACATGGAAAAGAAAGCACGTGCAGGTTAGAGTGAACATGATGACAGAGCATGTCATTCCCCTTGGGTTTCCTTCTATAACACGGCATAATCACACCCTGGCAACCTGACACTGACGGTTTAATAAGAGGGTTTGCAGACCAACTGGGGTTTGCAGTCACACGAGTCAGAATCAGAGAAAGGGTTGAATTATCAGACAAAAGCCATGCAGTCGATCACAAGACAGAAGATGATTATGAAGACAGCAGTGGTGAGGCGAGCTCACGCACAGAGGCGCCTTCTGTCCTTCCTGGATGGGGGCCAGGGGTCCGCAGCGTGAGCTGTGATTCTGGTCAGAGGTTCTGACTGAGGGCGAGGCAGAGGCCACCTCCTCTGGTGAGCAGCTTCCATCCTGGAAGTCCTCCCTCTGGATGCCTCTGATTGTGGTGGGCTGGATGGGCTCCTCCACTGATGACGTCCAACTCAGCTCCTTTTCCTGCTCCCCTCCTGCTTCTTCATCTTCATCCTGCTCATCATCCTCCTCTTCCATACCAGGGACACGGTGGAGCTTGGCCCGTGTCCCCTCAACAGGTTGTCCTGGAGGGAGGGCGTCCTCCAGGTTCAGGCTTTGGACACATCTGGAGAGAGAGATCATGTCCTGCACAGCATCCTGCCCTCTGAAGATGGGATCTGTCTGGGTTGACCTGTCCAGTGTTACTGGTCTGGGTTCTGTGGACTTCAGGCTTCCTATGTGGCCATTGGCATTGGTCACAATGCTGTCTGACAGTTGGCTAGAGGTAGTTCAGAGGTTGAGAGCAACACAGAACAGTCATGTCGGCAGATCACACAGACATCATATGAACACAAGCAGGCCTCTGCATTGACCAGTAGAACAACATGTAAAATAAAATGACTGTGGCCCATCATGCTACTGTATTTCTGAGCCCTTGGCCTGTAGGTCTGGTACCTGGCAGCAGTATGGCGGCTCCCATCGACGGCTGAGCTGGACGACAGTTTTCTGCTGCTGGTGCAACTTTCTGAGCAGGACACTTGATTCAGCGCTCGTGCAGCACCCGGGTTCACTGGGTGGAGAGACAGTTGTTTATTAGTCAGGTAGGAGAGGTACAGTTCTCTGTATGCTCAGCTTTTCCATAGATGTGGGGAAGCATCACGGTGTGAACAATCTAAGGCAGGGTCTCTTAACATGCTATGATACTAGAGCAACGCAATGCCTATGTTTTACCGAAATATAATTATAATTTTAATTTTGATTGACCCTCTGAAAACCTCAACAGCTAAATTCTGGGAGGTTTCTGGAAAAAAATCTTTTAAATCTATTTGTCACTTATAATTGTCATGTTGCTCTTTCAGGATTGGGGCAGACACACATTACGGTGCCCGTGTCCATGTCCTCCCTCATCACTCCCCCACTGACCTGCACTCACTTTACACATTAACAATAAACAACACTAATCAGACATTATTAGGAACTGATCTGTACTTAGGTTTAATTAGTTGATGAGACGCGGGGGGGGGGGATCATATCAGGATCTGTGGGGACATAACATATGCATAACATTGCAGCACTAGGTAGGGGGAGAACCCCCGATTGCCACTGGGTATTCGCACATTGATTATGATAGTTATGTGCTGCATCTTGACTTGAACTCTCACTTTAGTGTTATTGAGAATAACTTGATGTGTGGCCTGCATGTAAACCCTCTTGGTCACAAGCTGAATAGAATCTGATGAAAATGTAAAGTTTTTTTTGTTCTTAGAAGACCAAACTAAAAAAAACAGTACTGCAGCTGTCAGTTGTGCAGAAAGCCACAGTGACAACAATGTTCTACCATTCGTGAACCATCAGGCTGCAGGTTGAGCATGTTGAAGACCACCTACCTGCAATGAGCTGCTGTTTCAGTAAGGGCAGTAGCTGATCATGGAGGCGGATCCTGCGTAGGGCGTCAGCTAATGAAGATTTCAGCAGCGTGATCTCATCTTCTTGTGCCTGCAGACGCACCTCCATCATGGATGCTCTGTCCGGGAACTCAGCACTGCTGTCTGCTGATACATCATCTACAAAGAGGCCAGAGGGGTCTGTCATGAATAAGGCTCAGAGGGGCAGGGTTTTGCGAGGAAAGCCTGGCTTCTGTGAGCCTGGATTAAACGCTTTCATCAGATTAATCCAAGATCTGCTCTTCCATGACTTGAAATCAGAGGCACGAGACATCAAGCACAGATCACATCAATTCAGCGTAAAAGACAAAACCATGCTGTTGACAGCCATAGTGCAACCTCTATTAAACTCAAAATATGAAGAATGACATATTCAAACAACATTCAACACTTGCACAAGAAGACAACTTTCTTTTTTTTTTTTAATAAGATGCAACATAACCAATGAATGATTCACAACTCTGACTGATCAAATAGGACTTGTGTCAGGAAAAACACATTATGATGAATTGGTCATGGGCTGATTTTCTGGCTGGCTGCTTAGAATGTGACACTGGCTTTCTTAACCCACCTGCAGGCAGCCAGTAAAGAGGGTGAAACTGATTTACAATGTATGCTGGCTGAGGTTAGGATGTGGTCTAGGTTTGGGTTATTGTAAGAGTTGAGAGATTAGGCTGTTCCAGAAGCTAGTAGTATAGTAGTAATAGTTAATGTTAGGACGAAGGGCTAGGGAATGCAACATGTCAATGAGGGTCCTCGCAAATATAGACAGATTGTGTTCATATTGAGGGAGAATTACAGATGATTAGAGCATTTTACTCACATGGTCCTGTCCCATGCTTCTCAAAGGCCCTATTGTGAGTGCATGTGTAGGACAAAGCTGGTTCTGGTCCAGAAAGAGTGTGTATATATGTGTGGAATGCCTCCCTCGGTTCTGGTGACACAGGATGGAAGAAAGCTGTTCATGGCATCAGGGCTGAAAGGAGAAAATTTTGTGCTCCAGCTCTCCTCGGCTATGTTGGTAGCTCTCGTGATTACTCAGCTGCTGAATTCTCACTCAGCCATTTGAAGTGTTGTTTTTGCGCTGTAGTCCAACAAAGCACAGCTGTTAATTTACCAAGAAGGTCGGAGGAAATGGTTTGGTTTGTTCAGTAATAAGTAGGTAAGAGGTCCTCAGACACCACTCCTCTCTGCACAAATCCTTGGAAGCCACATGGAGTCAATTTTAGCAAAGGGCAACAGTAAAGATCCACAACCTGGAATTACACTGTGCCAGTAATTGTAGCTCCATTTCCACACAGATCTAAATTTTCTGACATTTCTCACAGAACACGCCACCAATCGTCCTGCTCAGAACTATCTTTGTTAAAATTTAATTGTGGCCCTGGTGGGAACGAAAGTGGCAACGCTGCCAGGTAACACAAACGTTTCAAAGTTCTTTTATAAAAGCAACACAACTGTATATTCTCAAATAGTGGCCTTTCACATTTCCTGGGAGTTTATGAGGTGTTGATTAGAGAAAGAGTCGGACGGTGGTGCTGTGATTAGAAGAAGGTTCCCCGGTTTGAATCTCTGTTCTTTCTGTGTGGAGTCGGTTCTGGAGTTATGTTCTCCCTGTGTTTGCGTTGGGGTTCTCCAGGGACTCTGGCTAATGGATGGATGAATTATAGAAAGTCCTTGATTCCTAATTCATCCTGTTTTACAACAATATTTCATCAGATTTATTTAGAAGCTGTTTTCTCATATTATTTCGCTTTCAATACACATTAACCACACTAGCTTCCTACCTAATGAGTTCATTGTAATGTATAATTTTGATGTACATACTTACAGCTGGGAACTAATGTTTGAAATTAGGTATAACTCAGTCCATGTTGATGGACAGGGGGTATTGATGATACAGCCATTATCTTGGTCCGCACTAAAGCAGGAAATGATTTATATAGTTATTGTCCATTTACAGTTGTCACTGCCTTATTATAAACACACCAAAAGTGTTAAACACAATGTCACAGTGAACCGTTCGACATGTCGGTTGCTTGTTGTTGATGAGCCATCGCTCTTCAGCAGAGCTGTGGGGAAAAGTCAAATCATTGCCTGCTTCAGCTTTGGAATTCAAACATGTGACACCATCTCTCCGAAACACCATGCAATTTTGTGTTTGGTTATAGATTTCATTAATTTGCTTTTTCTATATTCTTGTAATGGTGGATTGTGGATCGTGGTGGTGGCTGATCATCGACTATAATTACAACAAGACTGCTTGATATACAATATGCCGACTCATTAATGGAAATTGCTCCTCCATTTCATTCGTCATTGCTGCTCCCTTCATCTCTAATCTGACAATTCGATATGTATAAATACTTCAAACATTGATACGCCTTTCCATCAGGTTAAAACTGTTTCTTCTAATCAATGTTGTAAATATTGTAATTGTGCTGATGTGTTCAGTTACACACAGCATCAACTGCACTTCTGTCCGTCCTGGGAGAGGGATCCCTCACATGTGGAGACTTGTGGACTGGTGGAGCAGGGGATCCAACTACTGACCTTCAGATTTATGGACGGACCAGTCTACCTCCTAAGATAGACTAGTACCACTAAAATCTTATTATAACCATCCCTAGCAGCTACTCTCTAAATGTATCTGTCTGAGTCTGCTGTTTGCTGCTGAGCTGACAGTTTTATAGCTAAAAGCAGCTGAGAGAGATTCTTCATGTTTCACTGTTCGTCTGACATCACATCTGATCATTTGATTGATTGGTACTATACAGTAAACTAGTGATTTGAGAAGCTTTAACATTCACCACCATAGGTATATAGTGCTACAGTCAAACGAAAAAAATTGAGATGAGACTAAAACATCCTTTCACTCTTCTGACAGTTGCTTTGTGACGTGTTTGGACAGCTCTTGCTGCGTCACAATGCTGGCTGGGAAATAAAAGATGGTTCTCATAGCCTTGGTTGGCCTGCAATGAACTTGAACTCTGCCTGCACTGCAGCTTATCCACAGATTGGATGATTACGATGGAATCATTCAAACCACGAACCACTTCATTAGCTATATGTTGCTTGATACCCCACTAATTACAACCTGCTACACCCATGGTATCATCTAACGCTGCTTAGCCAGATGTTTGGCACCAACACACGATCAAATGTTAGACTGACAAAGAAAGGTTTCATCAAGATGACGACTAATGCATGTTCACTTTCAAAACAGACCACAACTTAACTGTTGTACACACATGCGAAAAAACCATAGGTACACTATGTTTCAACAAACAGCAAAACCCCAACATCAGGTGCAACTTTTTTAATTCTCCTCAAAAGCAAACTAACAAGCACAGAACACTACATCTTTATTATTCATTACCGATGCTTACACTTGCCCACTCTTTTCTTGCAGCTGTTACCTGGTGACAGTCAACACCAGTAGATATGAGTGCCTTTGCCAAGCGAGTGATATAAAAGCCACCAGAGGCCTTGTGCATGTGTCGGCACGTCAGCGCTGTGATTCAGCGTGACCTCTCTCCTTTAGTGCAAATGTTTCACTGAAACAGAGGTTTCATCATCACCAACGTTGCGGAACGCCTGGAGCAGATCCACCCTGGCAGAGGAAGAAATGTTCCCTCCAAAATTACGTCGATCTTACTTGCAATACAAGCTGGCCTTCCCTCACCACATTGATGCATGCAGAGTGAAACACAGCCGACAGCTGCATCAGCTGAAGGTTCACTGTGATAAGGAGCCATGGAAACTTCTGGTCAAAAGTGACAAGAAGTTGATTACAGCTTAATGAAGCAGCTTACTGCTCCATTAGTCACATGTGTGTTCTGAGCAGAAACAGGGATCAGCTCAATCGTATAGTCCTGTAGATCTATACAGTTTACAAGTTTTCCTTTTTGAATTTTATTGCGTGAAATTCTTTTGCCAGTGACGATAATGTGTCAAATTAAAAGCAATTTTATGTGTTTAGACACAAAAATACAAAATAGTGGTTAAATGTTGGAAACAAAAAGAAAACCAAACTGGAGCAGGAAAACTCTTCAGCTGCTGTGAAACAGACATGCAGAGAATTTTATAACCAATGATATTTTGTATACTCTGATTCCAAAACATCCCACAGACCTAGACCGTTCTTAAATCTAAGAGCATTTTTAATTCAATAGAAACTTCTCAAATATCTTAAATTCTTTTTAGATATTCAAATGGAGTGAAAGTGAAGGACTTTTACTTTTATCTTTCACTTCACTTTAGGCAGCGTGATGACACAGCTCCTGATGTGTTCAAAAAGTAACCTGGTTGGTGGGAGTCTGCGTAGGCTGCTCATGTATGTGTAATTATTTGACACTGTTGCTTTCATTTCATTCATTTTTTTCATTATCATTTTCATATAGTATATTTATAGAACTGACAGAGGCATTCATTTAAATGGCAAATTATTCACCTTAGTAACCTCAACCAAGGAGGTTATGTTTCCGTCTGCATTTTTTTGTCAGCAGAAAACTTACTAAACAGATTTCCATGTACTGTTATTAAGGGGTGGGGTATGACCAAAGGAGGAACCCATGAAATTCATCTAAATAGATTGCTTCGCACCAGATACGTTATTTTAATTCTATTTTGACTATTGCTTCATTCATTACAGTGCACACTTCTGGCCTGTATTTAAAATCAGTAAGGCAATTAAGTTGTGTATTGCTGCTGAGCAGCTCCATGTCAGGAAAATGTCATGTTTCTAACAGCGTCATTACAATATCTGTAGAGAAAGGGTGCTTCCTGTCACTGCTCACAGCTGCTTGCTGTTTTTAATGGCTTTTTACAGACGTTATTTCAGCAGCACTTTAGGTGAATGATGCCGTCGGCCTGCAGAATCCTTCCCCCTGCATAGTGAGCATGTGGGATTTTAATCTGTTTTAATCCATCTGCTCTTCGGCATCCCTCCAGTGGATGATGTCTTTTGTTTGCTGCCAAGTTTGCTTATCTCTCACTTCAGTGATCTAGATGCTGTTCCACGGCCGGGAGTTGAAAGAGAAACATATCCCACATGGTACATTACGCCCCGTCACTACAGCTGTTTTCAGACATGACATGCAGGTGAAGAAGTCTGGAGA